TGTCCCAAACGAATATGTCAGACAGCAACAGGCACTTTTGAAGAACCTAATTAATGAAAAGACTTGTACTACATTAGGGCAGAGTGAAAATCTCAATAGAGCCTACCTTATGTTCTTGATTATTGAAAATACATTGAGGGCAATGAGGAGAATTATGGATGAATTTTACACATTTGAAAATGTCCATAATCTGTTTCCCTTTCATGCCATCATGAAGGCTGTCAATTCACACCCTGACTCCCTATCCCTGGCTTCAGATTCCCAACCTGCACTTTCTATCCTGCCTTTTGCTAAGTTCTCCCAAAGATCCTGCAGGGGCCACGGAACAACTGGCAATGTGTCATATCCACTGGCAACATGGGAGAGGGGAGAGATAACATTTCATGACTTTAGACTGGCATTCATTAGTGTTCTGTGGCTTCAGAATCATGTGAGCATTGTAGTTTTGTGTAATATAATATGGAAGAATTTAAGGAGGGACCTCAATAAATGTCTCCTTTTCTGCTTCTTTCATCAAGCWKGAAAAACAATGYMTTCAACTTAGCATGGAAAGTGGATTCACATATCAGTTCTTAAATAGATTGTAAGGTTTTTAGATCAAAGACTTTGTCTTACACACTTTTGATTGGTCTTTATGATCCCTACTTAGAAACTGTCATAAGAATAAGGGAATGATAATAAATGTTCAATATTTAATTTGGGAAGAATATCACTCAGTAGCAGCAAATATGCATGAATGTCTATATATTCTATGTTGTTTGTTAGAAAACACTCTTATCCTTGGAACATCTTATAACAATTGTGCCTCTATGGTAAACTCTGCATCATATGATRTAATGAGCTAAATAATGCTGGAGAATAGGAAGAATCCCTAAAGAGGACTGATATAGTCGAACTCTAGTCTCTTGTACAATGCAAAAGTGGCRACTGKGATCCATATGTCTAGATAAAAGGCAAAGGAGGAACATCAAAAAGAAAACAGCAATGGATATCACCATGCCCAGATCTGATTCACAGAAGATGGAAAGGGCAAGGGGCCACATCACTGAGAACTATGGATTCTTCTGTTAGGAAATGGTAATAGAAAAGCATAGAATTAGACACAGAACCTTTCACCAGGAACAGAGTTCCAGCTATGGACATGTCAGAATCATGGCATAGGTGGAAGGTAGGGACTAAAAAAAAGAATCATGATCAACTGTGTGAGAGACAGAATTGTATCTCCTGTGGGAAATATCTTTCTGGTGAAAGGTTCCATGTCTATTGCCATGCTTTTCTATTTCCATTTCCTAACAAAGGAATCCAAAGTAGCCCTTTGCCCTTTCTGTCCCCTGTGAACCAGGTTTGTGCATGATGATCCATGTTGTTTTCTTTTTGGTGTTCCTCATTTGTCTTTTATATAAAGATATGGACCTCAATTACTACTTTTGCATGGTACAAGAGACTGTATCAAGTGGTAAATCAGCCCAACCATGGTTTTCTAACTTTCCTAAATGCTGCTGTAATGATCCTTACCCATGTAGTAAAAATTCCCTCCCCTTCGCCAAAGTGCTATCCAAATTCAACTCTTGCCATATTGCTTCTGTTCTCAAACTGTGATGTGCACATCTGCACAAAAGCTCTCAGAATTACTTATTACAATCCATTGCATGATACTGTAATTCAATTCCTAGATGCCACCACAAACTTACTGAATCAAACAGTGAGATTCAGACCCAGAAATCTGCTTTTCCAATGCTTCATGGATGTTCATTTACTTATTTGCTTCCTTGTTTGTTTATTTTATACTACCCTTTAGACCTGGACATCAGTAGTCTCAGCTTAACTAGCTTCAACATGTAGATATTAATAATATAAATGGTCATAATTATTCTATATCTGATAATCTCTTATGAGCTACCTAATGTATTGTTTGGTATCCTAATGAAGTGTTTCTCATCAAAGGAACAATTTAACATTGAGGCAAAAGAATTCTTTGTGAAGAATCCCTTCGTATGAGAGCTATGGGGATTCCTACTTACTACCCACCAAATATCAAATGATGTTCCCACATCACTGAGATAACCAATACATCCACACAGACTTCTGAATCCCCTCAAAATGGTAGCCCCAAATGACCGATGAACTGTATTACCTTATAATCTCATAAGGTAATAGCTAACCCCTTCATTCATGAAAATGACCTTCTACTAAAGACAGCGAACCTGTGTGTCAGATTGGCTATGGCATGGCAGGTTCCTATGTCCTCATGGGCCACCTAGACCACTAAACCTCAAATGATCCTCCCTTAGAAATGATAGAACAATTACCTAGGTTCTCTCCCTTATTTACTTATTAGATAGATACCTAGACACATAGGCAAAAAAATAGATGATAAACAGATACACGGGTGAATACATAGGAAGGGGGGAGAGAGAGGGGGGGGCGGGGAGAACACCAAAGAAGCAGAGATAATCAAGGAAGAATGGGAGTAGGGGTCAGACTTATTAGTTTGATAATGGATAAGCCTAGAGAGAGATTGGGTGGGTGGGTGGGGGGAGCAGGGTAGGAGGAAGACTGATTCAGTAGTAAACAAAAGCAAAAATTTTAAAAAACCCTTGAATTGATTGTGAATCATTTTTACCAATCTGCCACAGTGAGCTACTATTTCTTTCACTCCATCTACTACCAAAAATTAATGATGCAGAATCGAATGCTCAGGTAATCTAGGAAAAAATATGGGTATTTCCTTTGGATCTAGAGCACTCCATGATACATGGGTGAATACATAGGAAGGGGAGAGAGAGAGAGAGAGAGAGAGAGAGAGAGAGAGAGAGAAACTACTGCTACCACCTAGGAGTCAGAAGATCACAGACCAATGCCAGCAAACTATAACACTGGCTTATAGTACTGTTCTCCTTCCAGTGTCCCAGAACTGAGCCCTTCATCCCCAGACTGTGCTAGTTCTAATAACAGTCTTCAGAACTAAGAAAGACCACTCCTCACAAAAATTAACTAGTCTGGATAAAGCATGAACATGCGGGACTAACTAGGCCAGTTACATCTTTATGACTGAACTCCTTCTCCTATCCCTCCATCCACTGACTAGGATCCTACAGTATTGGAAATATCCCTTAAATGGTGTCTTTACCCCTGAGAATCCTGAAGTAGCTAACACCTAAATTTATAGCTACTGTACTTTGTTCCCACAATACTATTTTTCTGATTAGTCCTTGATCCTGAGAGTTTCAAGACAGTGAAACTCATCTAGCTTGTTGACCACATAGAAGCCACATTCTATGGCCCTTTGACCCTTGGCAGGTATCCTGGAAAATAGGTACTTTCTCTGACTTGCCAGGACCTTTATAAAGGTTTATCAGGCTTCATATGTGCTACTTTAATTTCTGTCCAGAAAGAATAATCATTGTTGAAGAACAAATGAAGAAGTTCCAGCAAAGAACTGGTTCTTCCAAAAAGTCCAGACCTCACCCTGACAGCACTGCTCAAAAGTATTAGAGAGCAACTGATAACAAAGCAGACAGGCCGCATCAGTTCCCTTGGTACCCATTTTGGCCAGAACATCTGGCTGAAGCCATCATGAACCAGTGTGGAACCATGTATTCTTTCAAGCAACAAATGCTTAGTAAAGCTAGAAAGAAACCTGGGTCAAGAAGCATGGGACAACTCTATACATTAAAATAAAAAACCAGTTCCCAAGAGAGCAAATTTTAATGAAATGCTGGAAAAGAAGAGGTAAACATGAAGCTGAGAGATCCAAGTAAAGATAGGAGTAGGGGTCAGGATTTATTAGTGTGAAAATGGATAAGCCTGTCAACAACAACAAAAAAGTTTGACAAAACAAAAGACCCAATCATTAAAGACAAAAGAGATACCAGTTATAAGGGATACTCAAGGCAATAACAATAAGATATAGACACATTCTAAGAAAAGATTGGTCTTCGTTGAAGTTTCATACATTGGAAATTCTATAGGACTTTGAAATAAGATGGGTTTGAATTTGAAATAACAAAGTGTCACCTAAAACCATGAAAAAGTACTTTCAGTGTTTGTCACTTAAGTCCCATGGATAATACCTGCCTCCCATTTGGACATAAAACAGAACTGCGTGTAAAGTAATGCACACAAAGACGGACACCAGCACCCCTTTCTGAGGAGTTTTTCCCTTGCATTGCCCAAATGCTTGGCAGGACAAGTCCAGTACAGTGGATATGGCTATCCTTCCTGACAACCAGACTTCACCCAGTATCCAAAAAGGGCCTTTTACCTCCACTTGACTGTCCCAATCCAGAGAGCTGTTGACAACAATATCAGGGTAATCAGGCCAGACCTGCAAAGAGATAAATATGTAGCACCAAGGCAACTTACCCTATGTAGGATTTCCTAAGGCAATTAACCACAGCCCTAGGGAGTAATAATACTTTTGAATATCATGTAGGTTTTATCAAGATAGAAGTGAAATCCAAAACGTCCTCACTATACCAATAAATACTGAATGAAAAATGGAAACTACTGACCTCAGGGTTTACAGGTAGGGGCCTTGCTTTCCATTAATAGAACAATTGCAAATAAACAACAAACACAAACACACAACCCATGACTTTCTCACAGGATGGAGACTAGTAGTCACCACTTAGATCATACCTTTCCCCAGACAATGCCTCCACCATTTGGATATTTGATGAAGACATCATTCTCCACTCCCCGAGTGAAGGCAGGATAGGGCTGTGTCTCATTGCCAGAAATGGCTGGGTCCTGCAAGCAAAGCWCAAGTCAGTTGGCAAAACAAAGAGAGAGATTGACAAGGGACAGAGAAAAAGAACTTCTTCATTGGGAGGTCCCTAGCTTCCACCTGCCCTCTAGAGTTTCTGGGAATCTCTGGAAATATACTTTTCTTATTGTACTTGGAGTTCTCTGTTCTTCACATGGATAGAGGGACAAGAAAAGTGGTTCTCCACCAAAGCCCAGTCCTTCTCCCAACACACTCCATCCACACAGGCACAAAAGGACTCACCAGGATGAGGATGACCCGCATCCCATCAGCCCTCATGCGATTGATCAGGGCTGGAAACCCAGCAAACTTGGGGCTGAGGGTAAAGTCCAGCTGGCGCTCCATGTAGTCAATGTCTGAGTACTGCACATCCTGGGGGAGGACACAAGGAAACAGTGGCTGCTGGTGCTGAAAGTCCAGCTCCCAGAGGAGAACCACTCTCCCCTCCTGATGGTGAATTCAAATGGCTTCTTTTGACTCTTGCAAATTCTCATTCTTTCAGTATGAAAACTAGAAAATTCTTCTAATTTTTCAAACTTTTACTCACAATAGAGATATAATATAAATCAGTAAAAATAGGATGATAAAGCCTCTATATAATGGCTATTATGAGAACATGTAAAATCACTAGTAGGGAAATTACTTGGTCAATGGCCATCATAAAAATTGATTGCATTTACCTTCCCCAGTGTTGCCCCTGATAAAAACAGTTCATATTAAGAAGAAACACAAAGTTAGCTACTCAGTTATAATACAACCTGGATGGTAAATTGGCTACAAAATAAGAAAAGGAAAAAAAGAAAAACAAATCTCATAATTCTTCTTGGTATGCAATCTCAGAAATAATTAGAAATAGTTGTCTTATAAGAATATGGTACATTGCATGATATACTTCCCATTCATGGAACAATTGTAAATAATTGAACAGTGAGTAGAATAAATTTCAATTTGAAACTGCTCTGCAGAATCAGTTATACTTATTCAATCCTGCTTCTCCTCAAATGGATGATAAGAATTTATTACCACATGTATTTCCTTTGGAAACATATCTAGAAGCCCTACATTCAGCCAGTGAGTAGCTCAGGACTGATAAAATAACGTTTGCAGTGCAAAAATATATTGTGACACATCAATACATACTCATTGAATTTGGGCTAATTTTTTTAATAACCACTACTACTACTACTGTTGAGCGAACTTTCATCTCATGGTGCCAAGGACTTTTAGACCAAATGTCTAAAAATCAAGTAAAAGAGATGGAAGGAGGAGCAGTATAGCAGAAAACTTCTGAAACCTGCCTTATCTTCCCACTCTTGAGTCACTGAGTCTGCAATGCTATAATATGGGAGTAAGGCCCCACTTGTATTATTGTCAAGATGGAACTCGGTGTGTCATCATGTCAGAAAGAAACTTTTGTGCTTTTGCTGAACCTCACAAAAACCCAACAAATAAATCCAGACACAGAGAAGCCGGAGTTGGCTATGAGCTCATAGAGCCAGTGCACCAACACTGCGACATACATAGGGGATCTGGGCAGCCACCATCTCATCATATAAGCTGGAAATCTCAGAATCATTCTCATATCCATAGCGACACAGTTGGAACCCCAGGGACCAGTAAGGTACCATCACAGGTCGACCAATCACCTAGAACATGGAAAAAAAATATTATTCCTTATAGGAGTGACTTAAATGTAGTTGTACACCAAATAATAAGAATATTTTTCTAGTGCCCGAAGAGAGACAATCTACGAATTCAAATCCAGAGAAAAACTCAGCAGATGCAAAACCACTGGGATACCTTGAGAAAGCTTCTTGCTAGGCTAAAGCTCCTTCTCTTGGAATTCTGTACAATCTAAATTTACTCTCATTCCTAGAGGTGGCCTAGATTATTGCTGAAGAGAACAGATCCCAGAGGGAAAGTGCCTAGGCTAGCACACAGGTTCATGTCCTGCTGGTTCTGTTACCTTGAACAAAATTAAGTAATCTCTTCATGTTTCAATCCTTCACTAGTAAATTAAACATAATTTTAATGTCTGCCCCACGCTGTATTGATGAGGACTTAATGAGTTATAAATGTAAAGTGAGYGGACATGCAATAAGAGATTGATAAGTGACAGAGTTAGTTTTCATTATCACAAAAAAGGCTACTGTCACCACCACTCCCAAACATCACTTCTAATACCCCCCATCATCCACACAAACACCACTATCATCACCCCGTCACCATCACACACACACACAATCTCCACAATTTTCACCCCACTATCATCTCTATTATCCCACAATCACGATCATCATCATACCCAACATGCTCATAACTAGCATCACCACCACTTTAACCAACAACACATGGCCATCACAACTGTTATCATCTCTATCACCACCACTCATACCACGAACACACCCACSATTACCCTTACCATCATTAGTACCTTTATCACTACTACTACAAGCCTCACACATCCAGTCATTTCCCCACCACCACCATTCCACCACCACTCCTACCAATACCACTACCAAAATTATCAGCACTAGGATCTTATCCTCTCCAACACTACTTCATAACACTAGGCTCAGCATTAACTCAGGTACAGTGACTACTTTGCCTAACATGAAATAATTAACTATAATTTAATGGTAATTAAAAGGCGCTTATTGCTTTTTATTATATAATATAACTGTTTCTAAGAAACACCAACAATTCTACTYATCAGACTGAGTTTTAATAATGAATGTAGTTTTAGGCAAATGGAATGTGCCATATAAATACTCGATGATCAGTTGAATTTCAACCTACCTCCGTGTACTGTTGAGTGACAAGCTCTGGAGTTGGCCCCATGAACACATAAAAATCCAGAATCCCCCCTGTGGTACGATATGTCAGAGCAGGTGTGGGCTGGAAAGTCACATCTGAAAAGATAGGAAAGTGACAACTGAAAATTAAGCTGGAAACCTTCAAGGCAAAGAACAATCTGTGAAATCCCTAACTTCATTCTCTTGCACTCTAATCTATTAACAGCACCCAATCTCTAAATACTTAAATGAAATTAAAACAGTTCAGTGAAAGTCTACACAGTCCCACCCCAGGATGTGTTCCCTTTGGTGTGCCTCATTATCTCACTATATTTATCATTGTGCTATTTTAAAACTATGGATATAACTTCTATTTCACACTAGTTTAAGAGACATGGAGTGGCAAAAAGACTACTCTAAAGGTCTGTGTGCACCTCTCTCAGTATCCACCAATGATAACATCTCCTAAAACCTTAAACATAGTCAAACCAGGAAAATAACAAATTATTAACTCCAGCATGGAACTTTTTCAGAGTACAACAGGGTTTTTTGTAGACATTTTATCCCCAAGGCCTGAATTTCCAACCCTTTCTTATGTAGAGTTTCATTTTTCTTTATACCTTCATACTTAAAGAAGTGAGTGCTGTAACATATGCCTTCAAAATTAATAAATCTATGCAGACACCTCAAACTTAATAACCTCTTTTACACCTGTAACGAACTTGGATTAGGACTAACTAGGATTAACTTCCATCCTTCATATGGCATTTGTGCCAAAATAGAATTATATTAAATCTTGTTATCTCATGCTACAAGACTGAAGTCAACAGAATGGAAAGAAGAAAAACAGCCACTGTCCCCTAAATAATTTTGACATTGGAAAGCTGCTAGGTCAAGGACATTCTACAGTTACACAGGATGACTGRCTGGGRGACAACAATAGAAGGAGCSCTGGCAYCATCCTACCCATGGCATTGCTGTTCAGCAGGAGAACTCCATGGGCACTGCCGTCCTCCTCTAGTCCCATGTAGTAGGGGTGGACGCCATAGGAATTCTTCTTGTACTGAGAGTCACAGGGGAGAAATCAAGGAGGTTAGAAGTCATTGTACATGAGAAAGAATCCTAGAAAAACTTGTTTACTGAGATGGATTTGGTCTTCCCTCTAAAACGAGTAAAACACATAAGAAACATAAATGAAAATTAGCCTATAGTCTAAGAGCAGAAAAGGAAAATCTGAGTCTGGGATCATGTAGCACCAGGTGACCATGATGTATGTGGGAGGAAAGAGGCAGAGAGGCCCATATCCACAGGGCTCCTTGCTTACCCCGGGGGGTTCATCTCTGGAAAACATGCCCCACGTGTGCCAGTTCAAGTCTCTCCTGAAGGCTGTGTGCTCATTTTCCCCAAAGCCATAGATGTACTTGGAGGGCAGGCGGGTGGAGATGCGGATGAACATGTCATTGAAGGTGAAGCCAAGGAGCTGAGAGTCCCAACTGCAACACACACACAAAGGGTACATTCAGAAAAGAAAATCACCTTGCCTATTGCCTTCCAAATGCTGACTTTTTTAAGGACAACAGAAGCTTTGATTCTCACCACAACCCAGAACCCAACATCTCCCAAACACACCACAAAGTCTTTTTGAGGACAATATTCACAGATATCCCCACTATGAACTTGGGAGTTTTCCTTCATATTCTATTTCTCAATTACATGGCCTGTTTTCAGTGTTCCCTCCACAAAACCAAATTCAATCCATCTCACCATCTCAGCTGCTAACACTCCACACAAGCCTTCCTTCAGCTCTTTCCCTTGAATAGTCCATTCCCTACAGCTTTCCAGACTGATATGTTTGAGTATCTCTCATCGTGTCACTCCCTGATGACCCTCTTCCATGGCTTCTCATGGACACACCTCATGAAGCCTTCCAGGCTGCCCCTGATCTAAGCCTTCCTGACACCCCAGCTTCATCTCCCACCACTCACCTCCTTGCTCGCTTCCTTGAATTTGTTTCATTCCCTGACATGCCAAGTTTCATCCTGTATCTTGACCTATGTTCTTGGTCTCTCACAAATGCTTTTCCCTAATCCAATGGCTCCATATAAGGGTTTCCTTCTCTCCATCCAGAATCAATTTCAAAAGATAACACTTCAATTGAGACCTACTCTCTGCAGAGTATCAAAAACAGTAACCTCACTATAACTCTTGATTACCTGCTCATTTACTTAGAGTAATTATCACTATCAACTTCCTTTTAATATAGTTATGTAAATTATTGTGGCAGTGAAAAGATCCTAGGAACTATCCATCTATGAACATAGTTCCTAAAACAATACCTAATATAGTTAAATAACCCATAAACATTGAATGGATGAGTTCCCCGGAACATGGAACCAACTCAGCCATCATTCCAAATTGCCAAACACTTCCCATAAGAACAGGGCTGAAGGGTTCTGGGGTCATGGCTGAGGAGTAGAACACTTGCCTAGCACATGTGAGGCCCTGGGTTTGATCCTCAGCACCACACAACCATACATAAAATAAAGGTATTTTGTTCAACTACTTCTAAAAAAAAAATTAAAAAAGAAACCCTAACTTTAAAAAAGAAAAAGGAGGAGGAGGAGAAAGAGAACAACAACAACAACAACAGAGCTGAAGGAAAGTGTTCACTCATGGATCTGGAAATGGCAGAAAGAGGCCTGAGGCAGGTATCAACCTGGACAATAGGCCAGACAAAAAATGTACAGTTACATTGAAATTCCAAGTTAGAAAGGAGCCACGTACATTACAGTGCCTGTACTCTTACGRCGAATTTCTATTCCAAATGGATTCTCCTTAATGAGGACATCATAGAGTCGACTCTCTGAGGTGCTGGATGGAGTCCTTGTTATGTTCAAGGGGACTGGGACTTCATAACGACTCTTGTTGGGGTCATAAATCTAGAGCAGAAGAAACTGACTTTAAGTAAGAATACAGATACAGGGAATGAGTTCTGGGTTTCTATTAAACACAGAAGAAAGGATGTTTAATTTACTCATCACTAAGAAATAAGAGATGCTTGCTAAATAGATAACCTGATTACTCTCAATCAATCAAACCATAGTGAATTTTATCAAACATCACAACATACACATCATGTAAATGGACAACCATTATCTGTCAAAAACAATTTAGGCACAGATATTATCCACATATACACCCTTATAAGAATGTTAACATCATTGACAATGAGTCTAAATTCTGTATATTTGCATTCTTTTAAGATCATGATATGTGGATTTAAGTGATACATCAAAGAACAACATCATTTTACATTTTGATCTGAATCCCTCATATTTCACTATTAAGGCTTCTATTACAGTATCAAATTCACTTGACCCTTTGTTCTAACTTGCAACTTCATTGTGAAATGAGTGTGGTTTATGAATGTATCTTTACTATTTTGTGTTAGAACAGTAACATATATGAATACCTAAAATTCTTCAGTATTGAAAACTGTTTTCTCAAAATATGAACTTGGATTAAAATAATCATAGACCTGCTAAAAATAATAGATTAAATATTATATGAGTACCTCACAAATGCCCACACAATATTACAGAGGTAATTGTGCATATGAACTTAATTACACAAGGCCATGGTTTTGAGAATTTCTCTTGCTAATGGAAAGTTAAAGAGAAGGATTCATGAYACTTTGGTAATGTGAGTAAATGTACAACTCTAGAAATTCTGAGAGTACAGCAAGGAGATGCCTAACAATGTTTCTGGRACATTGAAGTAGTTCCATGGGAGAATTACAGCCTGAGTCATAAACTTTGAACTATAAGCAAGCACAAAAATGAGATCAATCATTCTTGTAAAGTAACAGCAAAAACAAAGGTACAGAGTATTAAATGCATCTCAGAAAGATGCAAGGGTTTCAGAGAGAGAAACTGTATGGAAAGTGGTGGACTAGCTGAAAGCAAGTTCTTCAATTTTGAGCCTTTATGGGCCCACCACCAAACATCAATGCTATAGTGAAGACACTAAAAACAAGAGCAAACACAGAAAATAACCACAAAGAAAACAGACATCATTCTTTACATTAGCACATGTTACAGATCTGAGAGTCCAAGTCGATGTCGCACATGTGAACACGTACTATCCATGAGCCTCTGTGTTAGGTTTCAGAAGCACAAAGAGGAAAGACACATTCTGGCCACAGAAAAGCTGACARTTTACAAGGGAAACAGACACAAAAACAGCTGGTCCACACGTAGGCTTTAGATGTAAGTAAACACTCTAAGGAAAATAAATTATTGCATTTCAATGGCTATTTAAGAGACCTCAATTTCAGTGTTCAAAATCAAACTCTTACACTGAAAACATACAAACCTTTTTAGTACTTCCTCATTTCAGGTAATGTCACCATTGTCAACACAGACATGACAAAAATATGGTATTYATTTTTCAAGTCTCCCTCTCCCTTATCTACATTTACCATAAAGTCACCAGATAATGTAACCCCCCTYTCTTTTTGTTTTTATATATGACAGCGAAACACATTTCAGTTCTTATTACACATACAGAGCACTATTTTTCATACCTCTGGTTGTATACAAAATATATTCACACCAATTCATGTCTTCATACATGTACTTTGGATACTAATGATCATTACGTTTCACCATCATTTCTAACACCATGCACCCTTGCTTCCCCTCCAACCTCTCTGCCTTATCTTGAGTTGTCTATTCCTCCCATGCTCCCTCTCCCTATACCACTATGAATCCGACTCTTTATATCAAAGAAAACATTTGACATTTGTAAACCCCCCTTCATAGTCGAAAATGTTGACTTTTTCCCCATCTCTTTTCCTATACTCATCCAATCTCAAACCCCACTGGAACACATATTTGAGAACATCTTAACTTGTCTCTCTTTGTTTTGTTCTCCCAAAACCTCCTTAGAGTAGCCACAAAACATCTTCAAATTGCAAATTAGAACAGGTCTCACTGGCAATAAATTCTCATTATGCTTTGAAATAGGATAGTAATCTAGTGCCCTATAAATTGAACCTTAAAAGAATTTCACATTTTAGAGTTCTATAACCTAACTGGAAAACATAATGTCACTAAAAAGGGCCTACTCAGGACTGATACAAGTGCCATGTTTACCTTAAATTGCAGCATTTCATCCTTATGGTAGGTCACCTGCAGGTGGAGGGGATCCACAGGTGTGGAGGGGAAGGCGTTGGCATAAACAGAAGGCTTTAAGGAGATGTCAGCCGTGGCCCCATGGGAGTTGTACTGGACATTGCTCACAGAGTACAGATCAYTGACAAAATAACAGTGGGGGACTCCAACAGAACTGGATTCCTGGAAAGGAAAGTTGAGACTGTAGATCAACAGGTGGTCCCAGAGTTGTCAAATAGAAATAATCAGAGAAGGCAATCAATCTGTATGGAGATAAAGCCAACACAGCACTCATTCATGTACATATAATTAGGTAGTGATAAAAAGTACATTTCTAGACAAGAGCAAAATAATTATTTAAAAAAAAATCATCCCAATCCACATCTAATCTTCATATACAGACGAGGTTCCTTGGAAGCCCTGTCTATGGAATTGAAGTAGGCACCTGGGTACTAGGGCTATGCTCAAGAAATTGCTGCCTAAGATTAAAGATCTGGGTGTCCATCAACACCTCAGTGAGGTTACCTCCCAGGCACAGCCTCGGGCAATGCAGTTTGCTTCAGAAGCACCGTGCTCATCAGGGTAGCAGTCTATTTTTTCTTCATCTCTGATGACTATGTTCCACTCCACTGTGTATTCCTCTCCCAGCACAAGACTGATCTCTGTGATGATGGCAACCTGAACAAGTCAGAACACACAGAAAATACCCTCAGAATAAAGGCCTGCAAGTTCTAAATAGTTTTATCAACACATGTAGGCATGAGACCAGACTCTCAACAATAGTAATAGGATTTGAATGTAGTTTCTGTATAGTGGGCTATATACATGGAAGAGGGAATATCCACTAGCAACTTGGCAAATGACATTACTTTATTAAAATCTTGTGCATTATGTTGCAAACAGAATGAGATCAAATAAACCTTCAGTGATCACCCCTTTCCTTCCTTCCCCTTCAAGGAAGACATAACTAGTTGCTTCCTCCTTGCTCTTTCTCAAATTTTAGTTAAAAATATCCCTAAAAATAGCTAAATTTTTGACAACATAGCACAGCTATGACTGTGAAAAAGTGAGAACTAGTTCCCGGGGACTTTTTGTCCAGGTATTTATTTCTAGATTTAAGGTTATTTTCTAACCCTATACCTCTCCCTACACACTCTTTCCTCTCTCCCTTCCTATATTTTCCCACAACCAGTAACTTGCTGACAAAATCTAAGCAGCTACTTCCTATCACAAGAGAAGAAAAGACCTTAATCTCAACAACATTGAGCCATTAAACCATGCCAGCCTGTAAACTACTATGTCTATTACTGGTGTCTACTTCTATAGGACTACTTGCAGAAAGAAAAAAAAGTCCACCTTGTTACCATTCAGGGTTTCCTTTCCCTTGTAGCTGATGAATCCAGACCTGATATGCCACTTTCTAGGCCCAGCACCGGACCTGTTGTCTTAACAAAGCTCAGCTCAACTGCTCCACTAAACTTTAAACATCAATTAAAACATGAGCGAACATTTCCTATATATTGGTTTGGTCCCCAGTGTCTTCTCAATTGTTCATGTGTACAAATCATGACACACTACTCACATTTAAACACTAAAGAGTTCCTAAGGTCTTATTAATTAACTTATTAATCAAATATGAATTGAGTTTGTTTTCCCACATGAATCCTTCATATACCTTGCACTTTACCATATACATAACCAGCCATACAGAAATTTATTCCTGTCTTCATACTATGTGTATTCTCACATTGTGTTATCAGAACAAAATGCCAATTGTCATGAAAGAAGAAGTCTAAACTCACATATTTTCCCCAAATTTGGAAGGTCTCTCATGAACCATGTTAACCCAGAAGCTACAATGCCAGGAGTAAGTGCAGTACCATGGTTCAGGATTATTGGGAGAAAGGAATTTTCATTAGACTCAGCATCAGAGTGAATGATTATAGGCTACTCAGGATGGCCATGTCTCTTCACAACCAATGAGAAATCATTTATTATTATTATCTAACCAAATAGGTACCCATTGAGTGGGATCACCAAATCTTAGTCCTAAACTGGTTTTTAGAATATATGTGTTGGAGATAACTTCTACTCATCTCTATGAAGTTTTCAAATGTGGGAACTTCAGTATTTGAATTCATGGGACTCCTGCCTCCCAACTTTACCTTTCAGCATCAGCCAGCAGCTTCCAGATCCCTTTTCTTCTTACCTGTTCCACACTTTCCTAACTCTGCTCTCTTATGTAYCCTGTAACTAAAATGTTGAAAGTGAAGCCAGTGAGAGAGAGGAGAACACTGAGAGGCTGTGGAAAGTGGGATCATCATCCCTGCTGAGCAGGACCTCCCTGTCTTACTAGCTCTGCCCACCACCTCATCACCATTCCATTCCCAGGCCACTGACTTCCCCAGCACAGGCATCCACACAACCTCAGGAAGCAGGAAAACCAAGGTGCTAAGAATAATTCTGGAAAAACATCCTCAATACATGGATTTTTACCTTCAGCTGAGCATCATATGTGACCTTGGGAGCAGTCTGACTCAGGACACCATTGTGTTTCACTGTAACATTGCTGGGTTCCTGTGTCCCAAAGATTTTAATCTGCTGAAATGCTAAATTATTGGGGTCCTTGTAGGTTGCTTGTGAAATCTTCACATCCAGGCGGTTCTGAAAGTCAAAATAGCACAATGAAGCCCAAAGCTGTGCCTCTAAAACACAGATTCTCCTGCCACTCAAATGTTCCATCCTAGACCAGAAGCTCCCCACTGCTCTGAATGCCTCTTAGCTCTCCCCACTAACAAATGCTGTGTGCATAAACCTACTTATACAATACTCATCAAAATAAATAAATAAAATAAAATATATAATCAGGAATAGAGCATATTAATTCTGGAAAACAACATAGAGTATGAACAACTCCTTTGATTCATCAATATTATTGCCTTCTTTTGATAAGATGGATGATACATTATTGAAACTGAAATCTTATATGACATTGTGTTGTTTACCTGTAGCCATTAATGTTATCATTTACTTATTTTTATGAAGATTGAAACATAATTACACATATGCACAAGCACATAGGAGCCTATGATAGACAAAATCTCATACCTAAGATTCAGAAAAATGTGCTACTCACTTGGGTGGCAGAAAACTCACTGAAAAGGTAAACTTTATTGGCCAAGGTATCTGAAAGCAGAAGAAAGACGAGTCAGAATGGCCTGCCCACCACACAAGAACAATTTTCATCTACCTCTCCTTAAAGCTCATTCTGCTGACCCAAGGAGTAGGATTTCCTTCCTTTCAAGATGGAGTACTATCCGACAATATATATATACCACAACTTCTTATTCATTCATCTACATGTGATCACAGGTGTTTCTATATCTTATCTCTTATGGATAATGCTACAATTAATATGGGTGTGCACACATCTATTTGATATGCCAATTTCATTTTATTAGATATATACTTAGAAGTGGGATTGCTGGATCATAGGATAGTTCTATTTTTAATACTTGAGGAACTTCTACATTGTATTCTAAAAAGCCTGTAGCAGTCTGCACCTGAACATGAATGTACATACTTTTTTCCACTTTCTCCACATATACATGAACATTTGTTATTTCTTCTTTTTTCACAGTAAACAACCTAATAGGTATGAGAAGGTATCTCAATGTAATTTTTCTGCTGATTTTGATTTGATTTTCAGGACATTTTCCTATACCCCTTAGTCAATTTAATGTTTTTTGGAAAAACAACTATTCAAATCCTTTGTCTGATTTTAAAAATCTGATTCTTATATATTTGTTATTGAAATGCAATTTTTCCTAGTGGTTTTTTTTTTTGTGTGTGTTAAGGGTCTTATCATATTTGTGGTTTGCACATATATTATTGATCGGTGGGCTCCCTTTTCATATATTGACTTATGTATAGGACAAAAACTTTCTAGCAAGATTTTGTCTCACTGATTTAATTGTTACTATTATTATCTATATTTTTAGTGTCATACCCAATTAAACAATTCTAAGACCACTGCCAAAAATATTTTTTTCTCTCAGGAATTTATGACTTCTCCTCAACTTTAAGTTTTTAATTCATTTTTTACAATAACTGAGATATAGAAACAACCAAATGGTCAAACTACTGATTCTTGGATAATAAATTGTGCTAATACATAAAAGGCTTAAAAATAAGAAAATCCTGTCATTTCTGACAATATGGATGAAGCAGGGGTACTCTATAGTAAGAGACACAAGCTACACAAAGAAACTACTATATGCTCTCATTTATATGTATAATCTACAAAAGTTGAATTTGTATAAGCAAGACAAAACAGGGGTTTAAAAGTATGGGGGGAAGAAGTTCTTGTGAAATGTTGGTTCAAACATATTAACATTCAACAACAAGAAGACAAGTTCTGGGAAACTAATATGCAGCACGGCTGGTGATGGACGTGAATTAATTTGACTGTGGCAATCATTAAAAATGGTATATGGTATATTGTTTACCTTGAATACCTTCAATCTTTCCATGTAAGTGAGATATTTCAAATAAAATAAATAGGATAATATTTAAAAGCTACATTTTACATTGAGGAAATTATAGAGTATTCAAACAAGATATGGATCTGCCCTCTCTTCCTACAGTGACTTTGAGAAGAAACCATTCCAAGAGCGTTCATGCATATGAATCCCAGGAATCTACTTCTAAAGATAGGACCCCAAGAATTGTTAGTGCACTGGTACCAAAACATGTGGTAAAACATAGCTAGATGCAGATACACTCCAAAAGTACATWCTCCTGGCCTTCCTGATATGTTCTTAACATTTGTGCTAAGTATTTGGGGGAAGACATTTACATTACAGATGAATTATTGGAAAATTCTTGACCACATGTCATCCAGGTGTCCATAGATAATAAAATGTGAGTCTATTACAGATCACTGGCCAATGGCACAAGCTGAGAAATAGAGACATGTTGTCCTCACATTGGTGGTTATTTGATACATCTCAAGTAGCAAAACCAGAAACAAACTCTTCTCTCAAGTGACTTTTGCTACTATGCCTGGGATTTTTCTCCTCCAGATGCATGACCAGCAAGAGTAAGGGGCCATAACACACAGACGTAGCAACACATTCTCATAACAGACTCACCTATGGATTCCCCATCATCCCAGAAAAGTTCTCCTGATGCTTCATTGTTCTCATCCAGGGCAATGATGAGACCAAGAGGGTTCTGCCGACTGTGGGAAACAGGAGTTACATAATATAAAAAGGTCAGGACTGAAAGAATTTTGCAAATCCTTCATATTTCAAAGGGGAAATATTACTTGGGAAAGATTATTTTGTTTTCCTCAGGAGCAAAGGGCAAATTAGAAAGTGTTTCTTTGTCTAGAATAAATAATGTTATATGAGATAGAAATACCCCAAGCATTATCAGTAAACATTTATGTAGGAGGCAATAACTTAAGCATCAGAAGCACTGCAATAGGTACAATGAAAGCAATGGCTACAATTCTTATTTAGACTACAGCCTATTGGAAGAGAAAGAGATCCTATTCAAAAACTATGCATTTGGTCATTTTATAAAGGAAACCTTCAGAAATGTCATCAGCTATGAGGGAGATCACTGGTCCTACCTAAGGACCAGTTTCACTCAGGAGGCAAAAACACAATAAAGCCCATTTGCATAATGCTACTTCCCTTACTTGATAATTTACTATTATTTGTGTTGATAGAAAAAGAAAATCATTCTAACATTTGCCTTATAATGTAGAAACGGGAGCATAACACAATGCCCAAAGAGATGGTGCACAGTGCTGGAAGTAGAGAATAAGAAGGCAGGAACAAAGCCATTTCTGTAGGCATCTCCTCATGGCCCCATGCCTCTGGACTCGCTGCTGAACTCTGGCTCATCATGTGCCCCTCCCTGGCCTTATGTACCCTAGTGTGTTCTTTCACACTTCAGCCTTCACTACACAGGTTTGGTTCTAGGATAGCACACTTGCCCACTCTCGTTCTCTGTGCAAGTGTTAATCAGTCACTGTCAAGAAGTATAGGACACACATATAAATAAATCCAAAGTCATAACTTCTTTGGCCTTCATTATAATACACATCAGAGACAGTCACCAAAATACTGAAGCAGAAAAATAACAGTGACACAATAGGTGAGAGCTGATAGCACTCCAGAATGACAGTCCCAGAGGATGGTGGATTAGATATTCTAGAGTGCATACCCATTGAAATACTACTTGATCCCAGATATTTTCCAACAAAAGTATAATTAAAAACATTCTTGGTTTGGAAGAAAATAAGTAGACACATCTAAAGAGAATAAAAACCAGGAAGGTTGCCCTCTTTAGCTACCATGGTGGAAATTCAGAGATTCAGGAGGTTTAAGAATACAGGTATTGTCATGATCTTTCAAATCTATCTGGGTGCAGCCCCAGATCAACATCTTCTTGAGAAAGACCTGAGGGCAATCCAGGAAGAGTGTGGTGACCCTATCACCATAGACGCATCTCAGCACCTCTGCTCCCCACACTCCACATGCTGCTGCAGCAGCCTCTGGTCCACTGATGGATGCAGAATTGGATGATTTGAAAAATGTCAAAACACAAATCACCAAATGAGCAAAAACAAAAAAAGTAAAGCGAGTTTGGTAAACTGCTTTCTCCTTGAGGGGRATGGTGTTGCCCATCAGAAGTCGCAGTGAACCAGTGTGTAAAGAGGAACACTAGCCCTGTACTCACCTCAAGTGTGTGTTCAGTGCAGGCTCCTGCAAGGGCAGGATGTAGCCCCCACGGACATGAAGGTTAATGTGGTTGAGAGGTGCTGCTAGGTCCTTCCAAACTCCCCTGGCATTAGTATTTGCACCCTGTGGGATGAGGAAACAGAAGATAAGGGAGAGGACACATTCTGCCCTGAACAGTGCATCTGGAAGCAGCCTCCTGTACCCCACTGAACGTGCTACCTGCTCATCAGCACTCAGCACCACCTAATGGTAACCTTCTGCCTTCCCTCAGCTGCTGTGTGAAGTCCTGTTGGGCTACTTCATGTCTAGGAGGGTCTACTGCCTTTCAGTATGTCTACAGCACATCTCACTTGAGGTCCTAGCGTGGATAACAGCCCACCTTCACCCACAACCTCTTTCTGAGACACAAAGCACAGCTACAGGAGGCTGCACAGCCATTCCTTCACCTCTTGTTGGTTCCTCACACACTGTCCACAATTGCATGTCTCCAACTGCTCCTTCACCAAGTATCTCCTCAGTGGCCATCTTTCCTCAGTCTCCACTCCCACCCACCTAACCAAAAGTTTTGCTTCCTACTTGACAGAAAAGATCAAAATGAGCTCACATACTTTGTAATTCCTCTTCTTCTACTCCATACCTGAGTGCTCATGATTGACATCTTAATCCTTCTCATGTGAGAGTGGATCCCTTGTCTGAACCAATCTCTAGAAATCCCAGGGGACCTTCCACATTTTCTCAACTAGAGCAGGGCTGCTTAGTGTTGGCACTACTGACATTTGGGGCCAGATCATTCTTTATTGTGAAGCTTCCCTGTACTTTTTGATGTTTATCAGCATCTTCAACTTCTACCCACCAAACCCTAGAAGCCACTTACTTCTACCCCACTTATGATTTCCCAAATGAAGCCACACATTGACAAATGTCCCCTTGGAGACAACATCTAAGGATGGTTCTATAGAGGCAAGCAGAGTGGATATTGAAAACAAATAAAATGATGTATACATTAAAAGTTTATTTACAAATAGTTGAAAGCCAGATTTGTCTGGGGGCCAGATTTCACCAATATCTACTGAACAACAAAGAATAGGGTCCAAAACATGTGAACATTATTTGAAGAGGCATTCCTTCATTAATCCCAACCAGGGAACATTTATTTTAATTAAACATTAAAGTGTTCATTTTCTCTAAGTAGCTTACTGCATCAACTTTTATCTTTCCATTTCATTCCTTGTTATTCTCCTCTTTAGCTGGAGCTGTATTCTACTAAAAGTCTTTGGTAAAAGCAGTTATTCTAGCCTTGGAGATAAAGCTCAGTTGATAGAGTGCTTCCCTCAAATGTAAAAGGCCATGTGTTCCATCCCCAGCACCACAAAATACATACACACATAAACAAACAAACAAACAAACAAATAAATAAAATTATTATTTTATTATTTTTTATTATATGACACGGGAATGCATTACAATCCATATTACACATATAGAGCAAAAACATTTTATATCTCTGGTTGAATACAAAGTATATTCATACCAATTCATGTCTACATAAATGTACTTTGGATAATGATGTCCATCACATTCCACCATCATTTCTAACCCCATTCCCCATCCCTTCCCCTCCTACCCCTCTGCCTTATCTAGAGTTCGTCAATCCTTCCATGCGCTATCCCACTATGAATCAGTCTCCTTATATGAGAGAAAACAATCAGCAGTTGATTATTTGGGATTGGCTAATTTCACTTAGCATTATCTTCTCTAATTCCATCCATTTACCTGTAAATGCCATGATTTTATTCTCATTTATTACTGAGTAATATTCCATTGTGTATATATGCCATATTTTTATCCATTCATCTATTGAAGGGCATCTAGGTTGGTTCCACAGTTTAGCTATTATGAATTGTGCTCCTATAAACATTGATGTGGCTGTATCCCTGTAGTATGCTGTTTCTCTGACCTTTGGGTATAGACCAAGGAGAGGGATAACTGGGTCAAATGGTGGTTCCATTCCCAATTTTTCAAGGAATCTTCATACTGCTTTCCATATTGTCTGCACCAATTTGGAGTCCCAAAACAAATGTATGAGTGTGCCTTTTTCCCCACATCCTTGCCAACACTTATTGTTATTTTTATTGTTGTTTGTCTTCATAATATCTGCCATTCTTAATGAGATGAAATCTTAGAGTAGTTTTGATTTGTATTCCTATAACTGCTAGCAATGATGAACATTTCTTCATATATTAGTTGATTGATTGTATATCATCTTCTGAGAAGTTTCTGTTCAGGTCCTTGGCCAATGTATTGATTGGGATATTTGGGTTTTTTTTTTTTTTGGTGTTTAGCTTTTTGAGTTCTTTATATACCTTAGAGATTAGTGCTATATCTGATGTGAGGGGTAAAAATTTGTTCCCAAGATGTAGGCTCTCTATTCACCTCAGATTGTTTCTTTTGCTGAGAAGAAACTTTTTAGTTTGAATCCTTCCTATTTATTGTTTCTTGATTTTAATTCTTGTGCTATAGGAGTCTTAATAAGGAAGTTGGGGCCTAATCCCACATGATGAAGATTAGGGCCTACTTTTTCTTCTATTAGACGCAGATTTTCTGGTTTTATTCCTAGGTCTTTGATTCATTTTGAGTTGAGTTTTCTGCATGGTGATAGACAGGGGTTTAATTTTATTTTGTTGCATATTGAGTTCCAGATTTCCCAGCAGTGTTTGTTGAAAAGGATATCTTTTCTCCAATGCATTTTTTGGTGCCTTCATCTAATTTAATTGTAATTTTGTTGGCTAGTCTCTGTATCCTCTATTCTGTACCATTGGTCTACCAGTCTATTTTGGTGCCATTCCATGCTGTTTTTGTTACAATTGCTCTGTAGTATAGTTTAATGTCTGGTATAGTGATGCCACCTGCTTCACTCTTCCTGCTAAGGATTGCTTTTGCTATTCTGGGTCTCTTATTTTTCCAGATGAATTTCATGATTGCTTTTTCTATTCTCTGAAGGATGTCATTGGGATTTTGATTGGAACTGCATTAAATATGGATAGTGCTTTTGGAAGTATGGTCATTTTGATACTATTAATTCTGCCTATATAAGAGCAAGGTAGATCTTTCCATCTTCTAAGGCTTTCTTTGATTTCTTTCTTTAGGGTTCCATAGTTTTCATTATATAGATCTTTCACCTCTTTTGTTAAGTTGATTCCCAAGTATTTTATTTTTTTGAGACAATTGTAAATGGGGTAGTTTTCCTCATTTCCCTTTCTAGGGATTTGTCATTGATATACCGAAATGCATTTGATTTATGGCTGTTGATTTTAAATACTGCTACATTGCTGAATTCATTTACTAATTCTAGAAGTTTTCTGGTGGAATTTTTGGGTCTTCTAGGTATAGAATAATATCATCAGCAAATTGTGCTAATTTGAGTTTTTCTTTTCCTATGTGTATCCCTTTAATTTCTTTCATCTATCTAATTGCTCTGGCCAGTGTCCGAAGAACTATTTTAAATAGAGGTGCTGAAAGAGGGCATCCCTGTCTTGTTCCAGTTTTTAGAAGAAATGTCTTCATTTTTTCTGCATTTAGAATGATGTTGGCCTGGGGCTTAGCATGGAAAGCCTTTATGATGTTGAGATATGTTTCTGTTATCCCTAATTTTTCTAGTGTTTTGAACATGAAGGGATGTTGTATTTTGTTGAAGGTTTTTTTTCTGAGTCCCTATTGAGATGATCATATGATTCTTATCTTCTTATCTTTAAGTCTATTGAAGTGATGAATTAATTATATTTATTGATTTCTGTATATTGAGCCAAACTTGCATCCCTGGGATGGATCCCACTTGATTGTGGTGTACTATCTTTTTGATATGTTTTTGTATTCGATTTGCCAGAATTTTATTGAGAATGTTTGCATCTATGTTCATTAGAGTTATTGGTCTGAACATTTCTTTCCTTGATGTCTCTTTGCCTGGTTTTGGAATCAGGGTGATATTGGCCTCATAGAATGAGTTTAGAAGTGTTTCCTCTTTTTCAATTTCCTGAAATAAAATGAAGAGTATTGGCATAGTTCTTCTTTAAAGGTCTTGTAGAACTCAGTTCTGTATCCATCCACTCCTGGGCTTTTCTTGGTTGGTAGGCTTCTGATGGCATCTTCTATTTCATCGCTTGTAATTGATCTGTTTGAATTGTGTACATCATCCTGATTCAATCTGGGAAAATTATATGATTCTAGAAATTTGTTGAAGTCTTCAACATTTTCTAGTTATTGAACTACAAGTTTTCAAAATAATTCCTAATTAYCTTCTATATTTCTGTAGTGTCTGTTGTGATACTTCCTTTTTCATCCCGTATGTTAGTAATTTGAGTTTTCTATCTCCTACTCTTCATTAGCATGGCTAAGAGTTAGTCAATTTTATTTATTTTTTCAAAGAAGGAACTTTTTGTTCTGTCATTTTTTTCAATTGTTTATTTTGTTTCAATTTCATTGATTTCAGCTCTGGTTTTAATTATTTGCTAGCTTAATTATTTCTACTTCTTTTGGTGTAGATTTGCTCTTCTTTTTCTAGGGTATGTAATGTTAGTCATTTACTTGTTGACTTTTTCTTCTTTTAAGGAATGAACTCCATGCAGTGAACTTTCTTCTTAGAACTGCCTTAATAGTGTCCCAGAGATTTTGATACATTGTATCTGTGTTCTCATTCACCTCTAAAATTGTTTTGATCTCCTTGTTGATATCTTCTGTAACCCTTGTTCATTCAGTAACATATTGTTTAGTCTCCAGATGTTGGAATAGACTTTATTTCTTATTTTATAATTGATTTCTAATTTCATTCTATTCTAATCTGAGAGAACACAGGGTAGTATCTCTATTCTATCAGAGATTTTGTTTGTTTGTTAAGAGTTTCTTTGTGGCATAGTATATGGCCTATATTAGTAAATGATCCATGGGCTGCTGAGAAGAAAGTGTATTTGCTCACTGAAATAAAATTCTTTAGAAAAAAGTCGTTCTAGATATTTCTTTCTTAGTTCTCACATTTTACTTTCTTTAATGTGGTACACATACTTATTTCAAATGCATTAGGGTTTATAAATGCAAGCATTAGCTCTTCTACATAGTAAGCATCAGGGGAAATGTGTCCAGAATTCTAACACCTAGAGCTCAGTACAGTGTTTGGCACTTGTGTAAGGCAGGGGCCAGAAGATGCCAGAAGTGCAAAATGTAGGGAAGACCTCACACCCCAGGTCACACAGTAAAGCTCATCCACACAATGGAAGGCCACACTACACTGGGTACCCAGGGTCCTCCCTGGTTTAACCCTACCCCAGGCCCTGCAGCAGAAAGTCCCAACACACTAAAACAACTGTTAGTGAATAGCACAGTCCACATGCACACTCAGGGCCAAGGCTAAGCTCAACACAACAAAGTTGGCTGCTCTCTGCCCTGAAAGTCCTGGCAGGAAAGCCCACAGCAGAATCCAAACACGTTGCCACCCAAAGAACAGACCCACAGGCAATAAAGAAGGGAAGACAGGAATGAGTGCTGCACAAGACATAGAAGAGAGGACTGTGCTTCCATTGCCTCACCCTGTGTTCACACAATCCCACTGCAATCCCTAGGATGAGAGGGGCCAGCACATGTGTTGCTGCCCACCTTCCACCCCGCATTTCTAGTCTCCCACATGGTTCTCCTCAGGARGTCAGAAGAGGAAGCCTGACATCAGTGTGAGGACACTCCTCAGTCTTTCTCAAGAATCCTTTGGGACTCAGGCCAACCCTACACAACTGACCAATTTCTTCCCCCGCTTCTTTGGTCAATGTCTGTGCATTGCTTAGATTTGCAAGTGGAGGTTCAGGTCTGAGGTCCTTTATACACTACCTCATAGTCCACTTACTTAGGTAATTAATATAGTGTTAACTTTTATTTCAGCATCTTTACTGTAGAAGAAGAAATTTTTAAAAAATAGAGAAGATAAAAGAACTTAATACTTAGGGAAATGCAGCAGGAAAGGAGAAAAGTAAAAGCTACAATGCAATTTTAAGAAATATCTAGTTTCCCCTCACAGACAAGTGACTGAAGAAGAAAAGACAGAAACTCGCATGAACACCCACAACAAGCTGGGCCCTGAGTGAGAAATTATATGTGCTATTTCTCAATGAAGGAGTGGTCATAGCCCATCTAGGGGAGAAAAAACGGAGGTTATAAGGTTAAAATTTTCTTTTATAGGACCACACAGCCAGCTTGTTGTCTGAGGTCTGTTAGATCTAAAATCTTTGAACTTACCATGTTGCAAGTTGAATACACATTGAGGAAAACTTACCGTGTAGTAATCGTACCAGCGGGCTTCTGGGAAATAAGCAGTGACATTTCTGGCGTTCTAAAATTAAACACAAACAAGGTATGAGCAGTGGATGTTGTTATCTAAGACATAGAAAACAATTTGCATAAGAAAATGGGTAGAGCAATAGTGATTGTATTTGACCAACTCATCACAGCTCTCTGAAATCAAACACAAACAATGGGTGCTCAAGAGGCACTGTTTTTGGAAACCTAGTAAGCAATATGGCAGGAGAGGGCCAGTTAATTAATGGTGGCTGATACCCATCTATCTTAGTGTCCTGAAGATCAGCACTACTGAGTAAGTCTTCAAACTTCACCTTTCAAATGCAGTAAAGTTCACTGTACCAACACAAGGGACTTTCAGATAAGCCTTGGAGATCCAGGAAGTCACTAATAAGAATTAGATTTGCTCACAGGCTCACAGAAATATCCCTCTAGAGAGATAAACAACTTGGGGTAGATGTGGATCTGGAGTCAGAGTTTGAGGAGGTGAGATTTATGGTGTTTTAATCAGAATCCTAAGCTACCATGAGGGGAAGTGAAGACATGGTCTTTGCTGGCTGCAGGACATTGCACAGAAGCAAGGCAAGGCTATCAGAGATTCATTGATGTTCACATGCTGCTAGGGGTTCTCCAGGAAAGTCTCTTTCAATGGTGACAGAGGACTGTGATGAATTCTTCATACTGAGGCTCCATCTATCCCTGGACTCCTTATTTTCATCAATAAACTAAAAATGGTATCTTGCCATATCATAAGGATGCAGTTTTTCTTGATTATCTGATGAACTTGAACTGCTAGGCTAACTTACAACAAAAAGGAACTGAGGCCAGAACACCTACATGCTGCACTTCTGCTCAGAAGGAGAGGAAGACACAAACCAAGAACAATCACTCATGTCCCAGGATCTACACACACCAGGCTTCTTCTCCTGCCTCTATTTGATACCCTCACACCTGAGATCCATCACACATCAGAGGCTTCCATACTCACAGCCTGCAGCACAGGGCTGACTAGGAAGGCTGGACCCAGCAAGAATTGATCATCTATGTCCCATGTCACCTGGTCTGACACAAACCTGGGAAGGGTAAGAAGATGTCACAGTCAGAGTCCCAGCCCAAGTCCCCAAGGAACAACTCAGGTTCAGAGGCAACTCTCCCATCCAACTCCATCTTATGTCATCCATAGTCTTTGCATAGATTGATCAGGGACATACGGGCTTCAAAACTCTACATGTCATTTTTCCTGACTCTCAAAAACAGTTCAGATATGAATGGTTACTTGAAAAATACTCCACCACATCCCATGACACTTTCTAAATGTAAAAAAGGCAACCAGGGCCTTCTCTTGTGACTCCAACTAATATTGGCTTTAGTCCACATAAACACACAACTACAGCAGAGAGAGAAGTCTCCGAGTGGCCAAATAGGAAATAAATGAGGATGTGTGGCATCTTCTCAAATATTTTTCACTCAATAAATAGTCTCTCCTCAATGACACATAGTGTGAATAACAGAGTGCTCTAGAGGGTAAAAAAGTTGGGTCTCTGCCTTGAGAAATTATAAAAAAATAAAATCATGACTTTGTTAGGAAGAGTTGTTTGCATTGACTGCCACACTACAAAACCAACTAAACTATGCATCAGTCCCTGGGACCCCAGCTGGACACTGACTCGTGCAGAAGAGGCCGAACCACAGTGCTGCCCTCC